GAAAGCTTCATGCAGTATTGCAGGCAAGGTACTGAGTATCCTGCTTTCTCATAAGAAAGCTTAGAAATCTCAAAAGTCTCTTCCTCAAATGACTTTTCTCCCGTTTTGGACAAATAAGACTTCTGCTTGTTCTGAATAAAAAATTACTTCAGGGTATTGTAGTAAGTTGTCAAGAGGATGCTCTTGCAGAACTGGGAGCAAAAGAGCCAGGACCACAGAGCTTTTATGACAGGTAAAGTCTGGAAATGTTAAATCCCCAGATAAGGTGTTTGTCTCCTAGTTCATCTCTCCTTCCCCATGTCAGGTTAAGTAAGTTTTATTCTTCATAGGCAGAGAAAAGTCAGAATAACTGTAATGAATCTTCTATTTTGATCCAAAATTGAATGGGCTTCCCAGCACATATGGTTATACGTATTTCCTGCCTGAGCATGTTAGTGTGTGGGTTGGTCACAGCAGTGTCTCTCACTGCATTTGTCCTTGTGCTAAATGCAGGATGTTTGCTTTCCAGCATCTCTTCTACAATTGCYGGTCCTGTTGCATCTCATGTGTGAAGCTCTTTGTTCCTGGCCAGGTTAGATGAGGGAGAGCATAAAGGGGATGCCAAGATGTGGAAACAGGCATATGTGAAAAGATCTCTCACTGCTCTTTGTGCTCGGATGCTGCTGAAATGGTGAACAAGAGTGAGTAAGGATCACCAGAGCAGGAGATGGATGCTGGTGTGTTCACATGAAGTTATTGCTGCCCTTGTACAACTGCTAATGGCAGCATTCCCAGAGGCAGAACATGCCACCCCTATCCTGGGCATCTACTCTCTGCCTCCAGCAGTACATCAGGTGGCTTTAGAAGAAAATACAAGCAGTATACCAATCCTCTGGTAGTTTCATATGGCTACTCTATTGTAGAGGTACTCTGTACCTGCTCATAGACTGCCCTATTGTCCCAGCAGTGGCTTTGCTCACCTGCTGCARACCCTGCCATTGCCTCATGACAAGGCCACCAAGTGTGTTCAGTGCCTCTGTTGCGATCTCAGAGCTTGGTCTGGATCCTAGGGTGCTTCTTGACATACTATGCCAGTACAAAATTGTGCAACCCGTTGTTTCCTGAACTGAGACCCGGGGCATCTGTGACTCCTAACCAGGCAGCTGGGCGGCTTCTGTGCTGCAGACTGGAGTGGATTGGGCAGRGAACAGTGGCAGCAGAGGACCTGTACATGCTGTTCTCTAACTACACCAGCTTGGGCCCATGTGGCAGGACCTATGGGCACAGCAGTCAGTCTCAGAGGAAGCACAGTATTGACCAGAGATGATAAATGCTCACTGAAACTAGGTGTCATGCTAAAGATTTTATTGCCAATAAAATGTTAGGTTTCAGGCTGACTTTTTAATATGTAGGCTGCTGTAAAATTGGTGAATTGATATTGTAGTAAATTCAGAGTGTCTTCAGGCTGATGGAACTGCATCTCTTGATCCTGAATAGTCTGTATGCTTTTAACAGTATCTACATCATCTCTAGAGACAAATACAGAATCCAAAGGGGAATCTTTAAGGAATGTTTGCAAGATTGCATATGACTGACATGGAAACCAAACTCTTTCTTTGTTCCATTTTTCACACATTGTGCTTTCGTTTATTATTTTACCTTTTCCCGCCCAGCTTTTTCCATCTCTTTCTTACAAGGCATTTCCAGCTTCCTTTTCCATTTGTCTATTTCCACTGTGTTCAATTTCCACTGAGTTTGTGAAAACTCTGTCTGGGCTTTTCTTTTGTTTCCCTTTTTAAGCTCTTTGATGCCTTCAGGCTTATTCTGCAAGGGTCAGGGATCAGCTTTGGGCTCACTTTTCCAAGTCTATCTTAGCGACCACAGGCCTGTTGGCAGAGCAGGAAGGCTTGCCTGGTATGCTATGCAATGGAGAGCATAGGAGCTTCACTGCTCTTTACATGCAGCTCTGCAGCCCGGCTCTTGTATCTTTGGGGTTCAGATTAAGCAAAAAGTATCTTGTTTTGACTCCCAGCTGYGTTTTGTGAAATCAAAAATACTGCCACAAACCTGATGCAACTTGTTTGTTTATTGCACAGGTGTGAATGACCAGAGCATTTAGATGATAATTATCAGGTATGAGATTTTAAACCCATATTTGTTAGGTAAGTCATGACTGTAGCTAATTCTTGTCCAAAATAAATCCCAGTTTCTCTAAACAGCAATGTCAAAAGACAGACTGGGAAGWGGGGCAAACATGATGAGACAGTGCTCAGCCAGATGAGTGACAATATTGTATGAGTGTGGTGGGGTTCCTTGTGTGTTTTGAGAGGGATTCATTTAAAAGGAAATGAAGAGGGGAAGGRGAATGCTGAAGGAAGGTCTGAGGCAGAGGGAAAGGTTAAGGGAAGGGCATGAGAGGTGGAGGAGAGCAGCGAGTTCAAGGTGAAAGGGCTGAGTGAAGGAAGAGTTGGAGGGAAGGCCAGTCAGCACAGAGCAAGGGAAGCCCTGCCAGAGTGCTGCCACACCAGGMTGGCATGGCTTTATGCCCCAGCCAAAGCTCTGCTAAATCTCTCTGTGCTTCTTGCCTGATTTTACTTGTGGTGATGCAACCCAGTTAGTGACATCACATAAATACACCTACAAGTGGTGTTGCAGAGTCTAGATTGTGACCGGCAGATTAGTCAGCGGTGTCACAATCCGGTGTTTATATCATTGTCTCCTGAATGTGGAAGTGATTGCTATGGTGATAACCAAGTTTTCATCAGTGGATCAGGCTGTTAAGAAAAGCCATCCCTTTTGCAGAGACCAACAGCTTTGAGTTATTTGGAATAAAATCATGGTAAACTCAAGTAGAACTAGCAAGTGTGGCACATTGCTAAGATTTTAGCAATTGGGGTGCAATATAAACAGGTGACTGAACTCCAGCACGTCTTGCATCAGGGTCACCTACGGCTACAGGGCAGTATTATATTTTATTGTTAATGAAAAGTGTGCACCTGTGCCAAAAAGCCGTGCTCACGTCTACACATCTCAGAACTCTATGAAAAGAAGCAGGGAACACGAGGAGTGAATGACACCTGAGAAAGTCAGCAGTCCTTTCCAGTACTTGACATTTTGAACTGGTTTTGTAATTTGTATCAGAAATAAACCAAGTTATACTCTTTTTGTAAAATGTAATTTTCCAACCTCTTAATCAGATGACAGTATTTTTTTCATACGTAAGATCAGATAARGAATTTCTTCTATGTAATCTTGAATTAGATTTTAAAGATGGGTTCAAAATATAGAATACTTTTTACTCCATGGCATAAAGAACAATTTACATCAGTTCACTTTGTAGAGCAAGGTCCTACTTCAGTATTGGCATTTATCTTTTGCCATCCTAGCGGCAATGTTTGCAGATCCAAACAAAGCGTTTTGTTTCTAGAACGCTAATTGTAATCCAGTCAGAGGATATTAAGCAACTTCCAGGATTAGACCCTTAGTTAAAGTTTGTCTTCTTCAGTTTCATATTTCCTTTGGTTGGCTGATTGAATTGTCCTTCTGTAGTTTTGCATTGGAGTATATCCTGTACAAATAGGGAAGAGATTTTGACCTAGAAGGAGAGACCTCTTATTAGTGAGCATACTTTTAAATTACAGTTGCTATCTGAAGCATCTTGACATATGATAGATAGCGCTGTTGCTATATGGGTTTGATTCAACTTGTTACTTAGACAAGCAACCTCCCACCCTTATTTCTCAAGGAGAAACTCAAGATCTTTCCGATTTAACTTCATGCATGCCACTTTGGATAAATCCAATGTGTTTGTGATGTTGCTGCTGGTGTTACACTGGAGCGTGTCGATGCAGTTTCAGCCGTAACCACATTGTAAATGTCCCTTGCTCCCCAAACCCGAGTTCATATGCGAGGCACCGAATGATACATGGATCCACTGCCCTTTAGCAGCCGGTGCAGTGCTCGTGCACATTCACAGAATCAATTAGGTTGGAAAAGACCTCTGAAATCATCGAGTCCAACCTCTGACCAAACACCACCCTGTCAAATAGACCAGAGCACTAAGTGCCACATCCTGTGGGACTTAACAGCCTCCGGGACGAGGAGTCCACCACCTCCCTGAGCAGCATCTTGCAATGTCTAATCGCTCTTTCTGTGAAGAAATTCCTCCTACTGTCCAGCCTAAACCTTCCCTGGCTCTGCTTAAGACTATAAGTCATAGACAATTCATACGATCGTGGTGATTTTAGGTTTTCCTAAAAGTGGATGCAGTACCTGGAAAGGAAAGTTATATGGGATGGAAGAGAGGGAGAATCCCATATTTAGCGCGAGGTGAATCTCAACGCGGGCC